ATGTGTATTTTGATGCAAAAATGTATTTGATAAAGTAAGCGTCACAAAAAAAATAGATTAAAAATTCGGTATGAAAAGTTTTTTTTTCTTTCAGTTAATTCAATGAAGTGAATCCGACAGAGGTTTGGGACAGCTTAATACCCGTGATAATGTTTAATTCCCAGGCAGTATGCGATCAGATTGTGGTGGTGGTGCAGCAGCAGCACTGTATTGGTAATGGGAGGGAAGGGATCAGGGATGAACTGGTGGTGGTTGCTAGTGGATGGTCTGGGATGTGATCTGGTGATGCAATATGTTTAAAAGGATGGTGGAGTCTGGCTCACTGCAATTGCAGACCATACGAATGTGCTTGATTTCTCTCGCGTTTGTTATAGTGATTTATCCCGCCGTGTGACGGTGATTTAAGTCCAAGGTCAAGCAGTGACTGACGCGGTGTTAAGGCAGCTTTCCCAGTCCCGAGTTGAGAAGTGACTTAAAGCAGTAATTCCAAAGCGAAGGGACTCTATATTGTCTATACTGATTAGTAGCTCACGGCCTCTCTGGGTGTAATCGTTGAGCTCCTCAGGATTTGAGTACACTACGATCTTCAATAACGAGTAGAGAGAGCCTTACATACAAGTACCAAAGTTTCAGCCGAGTACTTCCGAAATGGTGCTGCCTGGAAGATGAAGCGGAGGCTTCTGTGCTTGTGAGAGCTTCCTGCAGTAACGACGACATAGCTCTTAGCTGGAGAGGCTGTGGGATAACTAGTGGATAACGATGCCGGAAGCCGACCCTCAAGCTCTGCGAACTTGTTCTCTCGTGTAGTAACTCTTCCTGCTTGTTCCGCGACCTTGCTCCATAAAGCCGTATCATGACCCCACTAGTTACTCGATCTGGCCAACTTGAATCGTTACCCGGCCTACTAGTCCCGCGCCTTCACCCTCATGTAACGTGGCCTAGCTCTTTCAAGTCGTAGCCTGTTTACTATTCCCAAAATTCCACCCACATGTACCGAGTTTAGTCTACTCTAGCCGTGACCTTGTTTACTACTCCGGTAAACTGCTTCCTTATGGTCACTGTCCGATCCTCTGTTGTTTTGAATGGGCAGTCTATTCCTCCGTATTATTTGATTGATCTCAGCACGTGTTGAGTGATGCTATCAGGTTGTGCTGTGCTGTAACTTGAAACACTCGGGCTGTGGCCTGACCTGCTACAGCGAATCTTCAGTTAATTCAGCTACTTGCTTGAATGAACTCCGAGCCAGTTGCTTTGACCCTTTGGCCTCGTATACCGAATAATTACGGGACAGAGTAACTACAACTTTGTGGGAACGAACCATTTAAAATTATCGTAGCTACGAAATCCCTATGTAAATACAGGAAGATATCTTCATCTTTCTACCAGTCTCCTAGCTCAGGTTGACAGATTTCATTGTCTCGTTTATGGTAGTCTCATACTGCAGGTGTTTCCACACTGCAACTCAGTGTAACATAGGGTACCTGCCCACTGCGGATTACTCCTACAAGATAGTTCTCATATAGTATAGGGTAGCCGCACACTGCGCATATTCCTATAACGCAACTCAAACAGATCAGTTCATCTGCGCACTAGATGTGTTCCCACAATGTGAGTCGTACAGAATATGGTACCTGCACACAGATATTTCTATTCTGTAAACATTAGAATATGGTAGCCGCACAGTTCAGGTGCTCCCACCATATAATTCTTATAGAATATGGCAACTGCACACTGCTGGTGTTCCAAAATGAGTTAAAAATGTTACGGTAAATTGCTGTTCGCATTAAGCAAAAATTACCAAATGTGTTGCAAAGTCTTAAATATCGACGCGAGTCACTCCTAGGTCGACTTTTGTGCTGGAGAAACTCAGCAGCAAGGAACTGCAAGTGTGGATGATCTCTGTCCTATTTTTAGTTCGAATATCCACTTTAAATCCTTCACAGCAGTTCTTGGTCAGCTGGTATATAGCTACATAACAGTTATTTACACGACATAGTTCTCTGAATGTGTGTTTATCATTTCTGTTGAGACAGAAATAAATAGGAGTGTGACGTTGTAGTGTTTATGGACAGTAAAGGTGTGGATGAATGCACGTGTGAATAAATTAAGGAATGTGGAAATGGATAGGTAGACATTGTTAACAGCATATGGATATGTACTGTCAGGTATATTTCTGTCTCAGACTGAATTTCATAAGTTAATGAGCCTACGATCTTGATCTCAGTCACTGCACTACTTTGAAAATTCTCTGCGAGGTTTAAATGACTTTTTTTATGGCTCGGTGCATGTCCACTGAGTGAGAGTTGTCCTGCTGAGTCTGTTGCACCGTGAGGGTGAGCGAGCTTAATTAACATAGCTCGTAAAGTTTTATCTTATTCTAAAAAGTCTTAGGCTCTCTAACAGCTAATGTGATGCATCATGATGCGTCAGTTCAATGTAATGGCCACTAGTGTGCACGAACGTAGTATTACTGTCCTTTCTTACCAATAATATAAAACACCAAGTACGACTGTTACCAAGCATCCTATTACTCTTTCATACCAATGAAAGGAATATTAAGATAATCTGATGGACAAGAGAAGCCTGGATGTCGCTCCGGTCAGTGAGAGTAGGGGCTGGTCCACACCAGCCTGTACCTTGATCTTCGTCCTGCTGTAATACCCTGATTTGTGTTTCCTAAGAAAGCCCAAGGGTGATGAGAATTGGCTTCAACTCTCCTGCAGTACGTATGAGTAGGAGAGTTTTACCTGTCTTCTGTGGGAATGACTACTACTTCCGCTATATCGTGGTGCCCGTTACTCTTACTGAGGACCTTCCCATTGGCCACGATGGGACCGTGGACAAAATGGACCTGCACCTTCTCACTTTCCTTGTTGCCAGTAATTTGTGGAGAATTTGGGGGTGATGATTCCAAAGAATCACTGTGCTCCAGTGAATGGCGAGTGTCCTCAGAATCGATACGCTCCAGAGACACTTTTGAAAAGTCGAAACGCAGACCATTGTTGCGGAACATGGCTTTTTTACGATATCTGGGTAGGACAGGTTCGAGATGATGCCGGTGTCCGTGTCTGAATCCATGGGCGAGTCGGAAAAGCTGTCTGATGACCATGAGACTCGCTTAGTCTTTCTGGCAGGCGAGAGAGGTGGCTGTGAACACTGACCCAGCAGCAGGGGTCGAACCAGTGATGGACTTCCTCCTACCTCGCCAACTATTTGCTGTGACGCACTACGAGGTGGATGAGCGTTAGACTCGGGACAATTTTCCTGCATATACAAACAAGTCATCTCAAAGTCCAGACTTTTTTGTTTGTTCCTAGCAAACAGAGCTCGTCTTAAAGACGTGCGATGGTTGGACATAACGGTTGACGAGTTAGCGAGGTTAGTGGCTTCTTTCTCTTGATCAGCGTTCTCCTCCAAACTGCTGGACTGGGGGAGTAAACGAAAGACGTTTGTATTGCGACTGAGGGGACTCTTGGGTGGAGAGGAGTTTACCTTATCCTGGCTGCCCCCTCTGGCCTGGTCACACTTTGCTTGATCACATCTGACATAATCACATTTGACTTGGTCACTCTTAGATTGGTCATTTTGTGAGTCGGTTTGAGTGATCTGACTGCCGGGAAGTACCGGTGAGTCACTGGTAGGTCGAGAAGGAGTGGTGTCCCTGGGAATGGATGAGTTAGAGCCTCGTGGCCGAAAGCTGAGTTCGGAAGACCGTCGAACGAGTTTTAGGGTAGTGTCGCTGGGCGTGGAGGTGGTAGGCTGGATGAGTATCTCCGACATGCGACGCTGTAGCTTCTGCTGGAGGGGCAGCGAGAGGGAAGGAGTGATAGAGGGCCGCCGTGACGCAGGCACTGACGGCGCGCGAGACTGGATTTCATAATGGACTTCGCTTCTGTACAACCGTTTTCTCAGGAAATTTTTAAAGTTTTTTCGAAGTACTTTACTTTTCACCCCATACACGAAGCCGTTGATGGCTGGGGCGAACGTAAGCAGAGCAAAGTTAGTGATGGAGACGGTGACGGGAACGTAAGACCTGGCTAGGGCCTCGTATAACAGACACACCGCTGATGGCAGGTACAGGATAATGAAAGTGCCAACAAAATGGAATACAGTGGTGGCAGCCGAGCGCCCCCTGTAACGAGTAAGGTAAAAGTGGGACCTCTGTGGTGTGACGGTGGCCTGAGCTGACACTGTGACGTCCCATAGCGCCGACACAATCCTGTGACGGTGGTGACGTGCTATCACCAGGATACGACCATTAGCGGAAGCCACGAGTAGTGCCGGCAACAGGTACCCCAGCAAGGAGAGCACCAGGGCGTAGCTGCGACCCACGACTGGCGAGGCGGATACCACGTCGGGTAAACAACAGCCAGGAGGTCGCGGGGAGCTCTGGAGCCCCGGCAGCACCAGCGGCAGTGTACACAGACCCGCTGATAACACCCATGACACTGAGACCGTCACGCCCACGCGTCCTGGCGACACGAAGCGGGCGTAATGCAGGGGCGAGGCGATGGCCACGTACTTGTCCACGTTGAGGGCCGTTAGCGTCCAGATGGCAGCCACGTGAAGTGTAAACCAGACGCTACCCACAGCAGAACACCCGCCCGTACCCAGCCACTCCACCTGCAACACACACTATCATTAGTTACGTGCTCTGTATAACATCTGTCATTACACGTCATCTTCCCGTCCCAAAACATTAAACCCGTAACACAGAGCATCATTAGTTACGTGTAATGTATAGCATCTGTCGTGGCTCATCATCTGCCTGTCCAACAACACCTGCAACACACAGCATCATTAGTTAAGTCTTGTGTATAATATCTGTTGTGGCACAATACAACACCTGCAACACACGTCATTAGTGTATAACACCTACTTTAAAGATATGTTCACTAATTTAATGTATAACACCAGAATTAACACAAATGTCAGGTAGCTAGACAACATTCTTGATTCCCTCACCTCAAGCACGCTACAAATATTAAAAAAAAACGTATACCACACGTAAGTTGATGTGTTCTCTCTCTGACTACAAACTGGAATGAATGTATTTATTCATCAATAATAATAAATAATATTAAACGACTCAACATGAAAGCTTTCTTCAAAATCAGTTTCGTACATAATAATGAAGATGTCAGAATATTTCTAATTCAGAATTTACCACTGAATATTGATGGTTGCGTGTAAAGGTACCATCTTAGGACTCACTTACATGCAGTGATTTTCTTTTAATGGAGTGTAAATGCTAGGTGGGGTAGGCCAGCTGTGACTGGTCACTTGATGACCCGTGTCAGCAGACGCTGTGACTGGTCACTTGATGACCCGTGTCAGCAGACGCTGTGACTGGTCACTTGATGACCCGTGTCAGCAGACGCTGTGACTGGTCACTTGATGACCGTGTCAGCAGACGCTGTGACTGGTCATATGATGACCCGTGTCAGCAGACGCTGTGACTGGTCACTTGATGACCCGTGTCAGCAGACGCTGTGACTGGTCACTTGATGACCCGTGTCAGCAGACGCTGTGACTGGTCACTTGATGACCCGTGTCAGCAGACGCTGTGACTGGTCACTTGATGACCCGTGTCAGCAGACGCTGTGACTGGTCACTTGATGACCGTGTCAGCAGACGCTGTGACTGGTCACTTGATGACCCGTGTCAGCAGACGCTGTGACTGGTCATATGATGACCCGTGTCAGCAGACGCTGTGACTGGTCACTTGATGACCCGTGTCAGCAGACACTGTGACTGGTCACTTGATGACCCGTGTCAGCAGACGCTGTGACTGGTCACTTGATGACCCGTGTCAGCAGACGCTGTGACTGGTCACTTGATGACCCGTGTCAGCAGACGCTGTGACTGGTCACTTGATGACCCGTGTCAGCAGACGCTGTGACTGGCCCACTTGATGACCCGTGTCAGCAGACGCTGTGACTGGTCATATGATGACCCGTGTCAGCAGACGCTGTGACTGGTCACTTGATGACCCGTGTCAGCAGACGCTGTGACTGGTCACTTGATGACCCGTGTCAGCAGACGCTGTGACTGGTCACTTGATGACCCGTGTCAGCAGACGCTGTGACTGGTCACTTGATGACCCGTGTCAGCAGACGCTGTGACTGGTCATATGATGACCCGTGTCAGCAGACGCTGTGACTGGTCACTTGATGACCCGTGTCAGCAGACACTGTGACTGGTCACTTGATGACCCGTGTCAGCAGACGCTGTGACTGGTCACTTGATGACCCGTGTCAGCAGACGCTGTAAACTGGTCACTTGATGACCCGTGTCAGCAGACGCTGTGACTGGTCACTTGATGACCCGTGTCAGCAGACGCTGTGACTGGTCACTTGATGACCCGTGTCAGCAGACGCTGTGACTGGTCACTTGATGACCCGTGTCAGCAGACGCTGTGACTGGTCACTTGATGACCCGTGTCAGCAGACGCATAAACCACCACCATCGTGTGCCAATAGTTTTTTCTTCCACAGATTTTCTTGTATGATAAGCTAATTATAAACCGGATTTACGATTAACACAGCGCAAATGTATTTTAATTTAAACGATTAATTAAAAGCTAAGAAAATTATTTTGAAAGAAATATAAAATATAAAATATAAGAAACAGTGCTGACTGTAATAATATTAATATAAACATTTTAAACTTTAAATCCAGTGATTATTTTAATATGTATAAAATAAAGGTCTTTAAAAGTTACATCCGATCGACACCATGCCTAACCCTTCTAGGGCAGGGTAGGTGCCTGAGCCCGAGCCTTTAGCTCATAAGACTGTCATTCCCATTTGCCCCCTTGGGGCGGGGATGGCAGACCAGAGAGGCCTAGCTTGTGACTAGGCCTGGGGACAGTTGGTCCCAAAGATGAGGAGGTACTTGTGCCTCCTCCCATGGGAGACTTAGGTCTCAGACACTCCCTAAAGAGGGAGCCAAGGCCGGGCCACCACTTGGAAAAGGCCCGGGCCGGGAGAATACCGGCGAATCTTTAATAATAATAATAATAATAATAATAAGTTAGACACCAACATGTTAAAATTTCAATCTATATTGACAGAACAAATCACTTTTATCCGACTTTTGTCACGACAAAGTCAAGTCAATGCTTGAGGTACAATCCTCTTAAATATTAGCCACCTGTTAATATATTCGTCTCGTCCGATAAGCCCGCCATAAAGCCATCGGCGAAACTGAATGGGTTATCTTGTGACGAAGATCAGTGCCAGGTGATTTTTTCCTTACGAATAAAATAACTTTCACAGAACTAGTAAGCCAGAGGTAGTTACTACCGTGAACCGTCATGGGATCACTATCACACATGACCTTAAACACCAGTATCTTTATGCGCCCCAACCTTAAGCGAGGCATTATCTTCACGCCTTCGACCGCCATCTGTAGGCCAGAGGTCGTAGTCAGACACACAGCTTCCAGGGCGCTCAGTTCCAGGCCGTGAATCAAGGGTGACCCAATGAAGACAAACATCACTGCCAATAACTATGCGACTTTTATGTAACAAAACAGTAGACGCCGCATCTCAGTCACAGGGACAATAACACCTCGATTACCGCAGTCATAAAACGGATGGTGACGGGGTGAACTCATCATGTTTGGGCGGTAGTGTGAGTAGGTAATTTTGGTAAGTTTTTTAGTGTATACTATAACTTTGGTAGTGTTTAAGCTTTCATTTTTTTTGCGAAATTATTGCATACACAAATTTACGCTTGCCTTATTCGGCAACAAGAGCGTTGCTGTTTAAAGCCAAAATCGCAAGTTTTACCTATTCGACACGACATATATATAAAATATATATATATATATATATATATATATATATATATATATATATATATATATATATTAATATATATATATATATATATATTATAATATATATATATATATATATATATATAATATATATATATATATATATATATATATATATATATATATATATATATATATATATATATATATATATATATTATATAAAAATATATATATATATATATATATATATATATAATATTATATAAAAAATATATATATATATATATATATTAATTAATATATATATATATATATATATTATATATATAATTATTATTATTATCACACTGGCCGATTCCCACCAAGGCAGGGTGGCCCGAAAAAGAAAAACTTTCACCATCATTCACTCCATCACTGTCTTGCCAGAAGGGTGCTTTACACTACAGTTTTTAAACTGCAACATTAACACCCCTCCTTCAGAGTGCAGGCACTGTACTTCCCATCTCCAGGACTCAAGTCCGGCCTGCCGGTTTCCCTGAACCCCTTCATAAATGTTACTTTGCTCACACTCCAACAGCACGTCAAGTATTAAAAACCATTAGTCTCCATTCACTCCTATCAAACACGCTCACGCATGCCTGCTGGAAGTCCAAGCCCCTCGCACACAAAACCTCCTTTACCCCCTCCCTCCAACCTTTCCTAGGCCGACCCCTACCCCGCCTTCCTTCCACTACAGACTGATACACTCTTGAAGTTATTCTGTTACGCTCCATTCTCTCCACATGTCCGAACCACCTCAACAACCCTTCCTCAGCCCTCTGGACAACAGTTTTGGTAATCCCGCACCTCCTCCTAACTTCCAAACTGCGAATTCTCTGCATTATATTCACACCACACATTGCCCTCAGACATGACATCTCCACTGCCTCCAGCCTTCTCCTCGCTGCAACATTCATCATGTCTTTATATATATATATATATATATATATATATATATACATATATATATATATAATATATATATATATATATTATATAATATATATTATAATATATATATATATATATATATATATATATATATAATATATATATATGTAATATATATATGTCGTGCCTAATATGTAAAACTGGTCAATTAGGAAGAACTCATTTAAAATTAAGTCCTTTCTATAATTTTCCCTTATACGTTTAAAGATATATTTTTTTCATTAATGTTGATGTAAAAATTTATAATTTTGCACCAAAAGGAACTTAGAAAACTTACCTAACCTTATTATAACAAGCGCAATTTATTTTAGCCTAACCCAACTAAATATATTTTGGATTTGTTTACAATAATTTAATACTAAACAAACACAGTGAAATATATTTTTTTCGTTAGGTTCAGAATGATTTTGGCGAAATTATTGCATACACAAATTTTCACTTGTCCTATATGGCAAGATGAGCGTTGCTATTTAAGCCAAGATCGCAAGTTCTGCCTATTCGGCACGACATATATATATATATATATATATATATATATATATATATATATATATATATATTATATATATATATATATATATATATATATATATATATTATATATATATATATATAAATATTAGGTACACTTGTTCATTAATGCAAATATCTACTCAACCAATCACGTGGCAGCATCTCAATGCTGAAACATTTTTGGATATCATCCGTCTAGGTTTAAAAAACATCAAAAATAAGAAAATGAACAGTTTAGATACCATGTCTTTTTTTACAATAGTTCCTACCGAGCAAGTCATCGATCTGTTATATAGAAAAATAGCAAACATGGACCTTCCCTTGCCAAGCCAATTTTTACTGACCTATTTGAACTTTTACCAACTGTTCACTTTTAACAATACGTATTAAAGACAAAAGTTTGGCATGGCCATGGGCACACCAATTAGGTTAGTCCTGGCGAACCACTATATGAAATCGTTTGAAATCGAGCGGTTCAAGATATTGCAATTAAGGTATATCGATGACATCACACCTAAACATTGAGCCTCGACACCTTCCAGTTTAACTGCTTAAGTGTAATTGAGTTTACCATCCAGTTCACCCAAGAGAAACACAACACTCCCCTTCTTAGATGTTCTGCTCTGCAATCAGACACATAACTAACATTCAAGGCTTTAACGAAAACCTACAACATGAACTCATGTTACGCCACGACGCTACAACCAAGACAGATGCTGACATATTTTTTCTCAGAGTATTCAGAGTATGTGGCTGTATTACCTCATACACGACAGCAGGGAAAAAACACTTAATATTGTGACAGGACCGAAAACATGAAAAAGAATTACAAGTACAACATTTTTCCCTCACCTGTGGTGTTCTTACCACCCTCGCAACACACTGTCCAGAAACAACACTGAACCAAACTTAACCAACATGATGCAGAAAAATCACGAGTGCAACATTCCTTGCATTGTATGTTTACCTGGAGAGAGTTCCGGGGGTCAACGCCCCCGCGGCCCAGTCTGTGACCAGGCCTCCTTAGGTCAGTGTCCCAGGATGCGACCCACATCAGTCGACTAACACCCAGGTACCCATTTTACTGATGGGGAACATAGACAACAGGTGGAAAGAAACACGTCCAATGTTTCTACTCTGGCTGGGAATCGAACCCAGGCCCTCATCGTGTGAAGCGAGAGCGTTAACCACCAGGCCACCAGAGCCACTCCAGGCCACCAGAGGTTATAAAAGGAAAACTTCACAATCCATGTATTGTGTATAATACACTCCATGTATCATGCATAATGCACTTCATGTATCATGCATAATACACTCTATGTATTATGTATAGTACAGCCCATGTATCATGCATAATACACTCTATGTATTATGTATAGTACACCCCATGTATCATGCATAATACACTCTATGTATTATGTATAGTACACCCCATGTATCATGCATAATACAGTCCATGTATCATGCATAATACAGTCCATGTGTTATACATGGAGACAAAAATCCACTTAATGAAACGGACAGATGCTAAACTGATTAATGTATGTGTGTGTCTAGTGAATTATCTCTAAGAGTCAACCATGCCAACACTAGAGGCCATTATATTATTCCCTCGCTTACTCTACTCTATCTCACTTTAAATTTGTATATGTGTAATCGATCAGTAGCATATGCTGGTTTAGCTAAAAACAAACTTTGAAGTTCAAAGATTAATATATGCAAGGGTAGAAAAATCTAATTACATATCAAAACATAAGGATGTCTTAATAAGACGTAACAGAGAAACTATCCCTCTATAACATGACAAAGACGTCACACAACTATGACGGATATCACAAATGGCTTGCGACAATATAGTTTATTAACAATGAAGCTACAAATTAACATCCTGAATGTTCTACATTATTACCCAGTAAAACACGCAGCCATTGTAATAAAAATACTTTACAGGATTAACCAACTATAACATTTTTACTTCTCAAATTTGCTTTTGAGAGACTGTGATGCATCTTGCAAAACAGACTTCATTGTTGATTAAATTATTGATCAGTTTAAATCCAATGCTCACATATACACAATTTAAAGGGAAAATAATACAGCTTTGAAGACCATCACAAGCATTTTTTTTTCATTGTGTCAGGGTATCCCAAAACAAATTCTACCATACAATAGAGCGGAAAAGTAATTTTGAGGGCCCTGGGAGGGGAAAATGTCAGAGGTCTCCCCACATCTGCAAAAAAAATGTTTGGTGGTTTAATTTAAAAACCTCCAAATTTGGGGACGCCAACCCATGATGATTCTCTTCAAATCGCTTGTTCTCTCTAGGCGGGAAATACTGCGTCCCCTGGGGGGGTTTCCCTTAAAGGGCGGGCAACATTGCAGACCTGGGGGGAGTGTAAAAAAGAACTTTCAGGGTTACACATAAGTACGATAAGGCACCAAAAATACGGGGAACGGTTGAAGGCCCTTAAAATCTGTTTTTCCCCTCAAACGCGGGGCGGGGAAATATAAAATGAAAATATAAAATTGGGAAGGTCCTGGGGGGTTTGGTGGGCCAAACACTACACACGAAAATCAATCCCTATGAAAGAAAAAAACCCGGGCTTTAAGATGAAAACTTTCCCCCCCAAATAAAAAAGCAGGGGCGCCACGAGCAAAATGAAGACAAAAAAATTAAGTGCCCGGGGCCCTAAGACTTTTCAATTGCCTCCCGCCCCTTTTAAAAGGGGGGTTTAACCCTTTTTGCCCCGGCTGTCTTCAAAAAGGCACTGGCCCAACCCGGGCTGTGGTTCTTTCGTCATTTGCGTGGGCAGAAGTAACAGCCTGGTTGACAACCCTAAATCCACCATGAGGTTTGGCCCTCAGACCGGGCCTGGGGGGCGTTGCCCCCCAAAACCCCCCTTAAAGGTAAAAATTTTATTAAAATATTAAAATATTTAAAAAAAATTTTTTTAATATTTTATATATATATTTTTATATATATGTGGGGGGGCCGAATATGAAAAAAACGGGTCAATTACCCAAGAACCTTTTTAAAAATTAGTCCTTTCAAAAATTTTTTCACTTGTCCTGAAAGGCCCAAGTTTGGGGGTTGCTTTTTAAGCCGAGATCGAAAAGTTCTGCCTATTCCCCCCCACGACACACACACACACCACAAAACACCATTTATTTATAAAATTAAATATATTTTTTAAAAAATTTACATACAT